TGTTTTTTGTTTGTTTGTTTGTTTGTTTGTTTTTTGGAATAAGAACGTCTGCCACTGATTTAACATAAGGGAATATACTCAAGGGTCTTAGAATTTCTGACAAAACTTGCTAGTGGTAATAGTATATATATATATCCAATTATGCACAGTCTGTAGTTTACATTATTACAAACAAACAAAAAAATATTGTCATTCAGCAGGATTGTGTCCACCAGAGTATATTAATGCAGATTTTTTGAGTTTGTGCATCACCAACAGGTTCCTTTGAGAGTTTATAGGTACTGCTCAGCATAGCCCTCCATTTCACCCACTTTTTGAGTAGTTGTACCATTTATTTTTCTGAGCCTGCAAACACCAATTGCTTTTAAAGACTGATTTTTGATTTGGGTCACTAAGGCACTGCATAACACACCCCAGATTTCAGCTGGCTTTACACAGTGCTGCAATGGCCCTATGGAATTGCATAGGTCTAGGTAGAGCTCTGATCCCAAACACAATGCTGCAGTGTCAGTGCCTCAGAGAAATGCACATTCTCTTAGGTGCAACTTCATATTGATGCAGTGACACTATTTCCTATTATGAATTTACCTTGGCGGCTGCTAGCAGAGGGATCTCTGCAACACGCACCACTGCACAATGTAAATATGCCCTCCAGTATGTGTGTGTACATCAGTTTTTTAGTCTATAATACCAATTGCAAATATTGGCATGCATGGTTGTGGTGTCTGTGTTTACAAACTGTAAAGAGGCTTAAGTGTTTATCCCCTTTATACACAGAGATATCCTGGACGTGTTCAGACAACATGGAAACCCTGCTCTGGCTCCCATATTCATACTTCTCATGGAACAGGGTGCACATTGCTTTTCCTTTACTAACTCTGCCAGGATCTTTACTAGCTTTCTATAGGGGGAATGTCTTAATGCAGTACTCTAAGTTGTTCTCTGACAGATTTGCTTCCCAGAGGATAACAGTTAAATAAAATGAAAGATATTATACTCAGTATCTTTTACTTCCTAATCATATCAGTATTAACCAGCCTCTTATGTGGCAGCTAGTCAGTCTCCAGTGCCTGATTTAAAATGTTATGCTTTGCTTGGGTTCTTCTAAATGGCACTTCAAGCTTTGAAATTAACAGATCAGAAACAGATCTTAATCAAATTACATATGACTTGTTTTGAAGTAAAACATAGAGATTGCAATGGAGGTTAGAGCATTATGTATTGCTCCTCTACAATGCACACACTAAAAGACAGGAGAACTACTCATGCTGATGAAATGGCTTAAAATCTCAGTTATAATGTGATTTGATTTTCAATTAATGAGTTTTATCTAAGCATTTGGAAGTAAATGAATGGATCAATGGCTCTGTGTTTGACTAGAAAAGAACATAAAAGGAGTTGGATCCCTGTTTTAGTCTTTAGCTACAGCTTTACTTTAGATAGAGTATATTGTGTCATACTATGAAATACTGCAGCTGATTGAAATGTAGTTCATCTTCACATAAGTAAGAGAACACCTATAATGTTAATGAACAACTTTTAAGCTGAAATTGATCAGTTACCTCACTTTTCTATAGAAGCTTTAAGATAAAAATAATACATTTGAATTTGCACAGGTCAAAATTCAGGGACAATGAGAATGGTACTTCAGCTCAATTCCATGCCAAGTCCCAGCATCACTCTGGAGCTTAACCATGGCTTCAGAATTGACCAAATGACAAGCCGAGAAAAGCCAAGCGGGCAGTGCCTTGTTAACTTGCATTTTAGCCCTCACACAGAGGAAGTGCTGTAATTCCTGTCTATTACACATGCTTTCCTCCTTTCCCTGAAATGAATACTCCCTACTCCAGTACAGCACTAGGTGGATTAGATAATGTTTTGCATTCTCCTATAAGTTCATCATTCTGTCTTTTTAAACTATAAATGGAGACACTGATTTCTGCCATTATTGCACCCAAAAGTTAACCAAGTTTGCTATCACATTTTATTTGCATTCTACAGTGGGTATCTATGAAGATAAGATATGATGGTCTCATTTTATTTTATGAAAAAGGAGACTCAGAAATCATGAGTAAGATGTGTAAATAACATTACCACCATGTAGCATTTGATCACGTAGGGTTAAAAAGAATAGATCTGAAAATGCTAACAAGTCTTTTACTGAAATATTTCACTCAATTTAATATTGCGGATGCTGAGAGTAGGAATACGATCCTGTGAAAAAGGAAGAGAAACTAAAGAAAGAAATTTCAGGGTTTTCAGATCAAATGCAATGGTAAAATCTTCTATATTTTCTGTTAAAAAAAAATAAAAGTAGGTACATCAATAAGTTCTTCTAATATATTAATATTTCCATTTATGCAGTCAGGTGTATGGATTTGATCATAAGGAGGTGCAAAAATCAGACGTGTTACTCCCAACTAATTTTTAAAATATACTCTCACGTATCACCTGTGTATGTCTCTTGAGTGAATGAAGGTGAAATACAATTTGAAGAGGAATTATTTCTTTGAATAATTAATAATGCTACTAAATCAATTTATCATAAATATTTGAGATTATTTTTGCAAGTCTCATACATTTTAACACATTTTATAACAATTTCTGAGAAGAAATAGCACAAGATAAGAAATTTATTATGGCAAGAGTCGCATGTCATAGTCAATTAACCACTTAGTAGTGTCAGGAGAGTTGATTCATCACATATATGAGATTTGAAAATTTCAGTCAAAAATACAGATATAGGGAATCACTTCTGATGGTGCCTTCAAGCTCAATTAAACGGGTTAAACTGAACTGTAAACCAGTTTCAGCCTAGTTGTGATGACCGGACTGGGATGTCTCAAAGATCACAGTGCTTCCCTGAACATGCAGGAAATGTATATGAAACCACAGCATAGCAACTGTTGATATGAATTGATTTTTAGTGGTAAGAAATACAATGATTCATAAAGTATATATTTCTTCTTACTAACATAATCTCTTAATAAGCTTATGTGTGTTACCCACATGAGTTTACCATACTATTTTATCATTACTTTAATTACATACCATTTAAATCCATTAATTTTTTTTTTCCTAGATCTTCATCCAGGAACTTTGATAATAACCATTAGAGACAATGATACTTCCTTAAATTTTCACTGCATGTATTTCTGTATGTACAAGTATCTTGTAGGCATCTTCTGTTTCTTGTTAAATAATGCTAAGTAAATTCTACAGACTTACACATCAGTGAGGTTGCCAAAGATATAACTCATGACTGAAACTGAACAATTCTTTTCCTCAAAACTTCCAACTCAATTTTCTTATGTCACCTTTATTTAAATAGTTGTACTCTTAAAATATTCAGGACAACCAGCATATTTCTTGCTTTTGTTCGCTACTTAGGTAAAAATTGTGCCTTTTATTTCCCTCTTAGTGTTGAAGTTACTTCTTCAAATCTAACAGAGAGTAGATTTTTATTCGATATTAGGAAGAAATTCCTTTCTGTGAGGTGAGTGAGATGCTGGAACAGTTGCCCAGAGAAGTTGTGGATGCTCCATTCCCTGAAAGTGTCCAGGTGTGACAGGGCTCTGAGCAAGCTGGTCTAGTGGAAGGTGTCCCTGTCCATGGCAGGGGGTTGGAACTGGGTGATCTTGAAGGTCCCTTCCAACACAAACCATTCTATAATTCTATGATTCCATGATTCCATGATAATTTTTCATAAAACATAATAGAAAATCATATTTGAGAGAATTTCAAATGGACATTTAGTCTATTCTCTTGCCCCAGAGCATTATCAACAGCACTTAGACCATTCTCATGTAGGTCTTTTGCTAACCTAGGTATTTTGCTAACCTAGTGATGGAAATTGGACTGTATTCTTAGGCAACCTAAATGAATATTTCACTACCTTTTCAATGCACCTCTAACATCCCTGCATAATAGCTAAACTTCATTCCATTTTGAACATAGTTATGACTCCAAAGAATATGGAGATTACACCAGTACCTTCTTCTTTGCAGGAACTGTTTGAACCCATGTGGGATTATGGGATCTGCTGTCTTAGTGAAAGACTGTGTTTCTCTACACCCCAGGGTAAAACACTATAAAAGGTTAATATCCCAAAGTGCTAAAGCTGTAAATAACTATTTTAACATACTCAAAAACCATTCTTCACTGCCTCATTGCTCCTAAGCAATGATAAGGAATATTCCAGAAAATATTATTGCATATCTGTCCTTTAATATCTGTAGATATCACATGGATTTTTTTAAATCATAGGTAGAATCCAACTAATTTTTAATGGTGAAATCATGTTAGAAGGGAAACAGCTGAAATAACCCTAAAATTGCCCATATGAGAAGAGGAGTCCCTCAAGGACAGGGCCATATTACTGACTTGCCAACACAGAAGGATTCTCATTGTGTACACCTGTGTTGTGCTTGGCCAGTGGGATAACTGCTGACCTTAAGTGGCATTTGATGTCTTCATTTTCACAAGCAAAGTAGCTACATAGGCAGGTGCAAACCCATTTAAAAAAATTTGTACAGGTGGAACTTTATTGGAGCTTTTGAGAAGCTAATTATCATCACCTGCACTAAGAAGGAAAAAAAAAAAAAAAAAAAAAAAAAAAAAAAGTTAAGTAATTTACTCAAACTTCCTGCTCAAAAGTCACCCAGAAGTCTCTTAAATTGTGTTTATCCCACAAGAAACAAAAATTTGAGAAGACTAGCCTAAGCAAAAATTCTTCTTGCTCACTTCATGACATTTCGTCAAAAATGTGGAGAGAATACTCCTCCTAGAGTGTAAATAGCTGAGGGAAAGTCAGAGCATCCTCTATTTACCTCTGCACCTGCAAAAGAAAACGAAAATGTCTGAAGCCCCACCTTTTAAGAGCCTTGTGAAACAACCTGGGAACCGAGCCAAATTCTGCTCTCTCACTATATAAGAGTTGGGAACAGACAGGTGTTTCCTCAGAGGCAGGTTGTTCGGTAGGTTCTACCGGACCTCCAGAGATGGGTAAAGGTGGTGGGACACAAATACCACTATGGATATCAATCCTAGCCCTGGTCTTCATACAGATCAAAGGTAGGAAGATTCACTTGCTTGGCATTTTTACTGTTTTAAAGAATTTATAACTTGCTTTGGAGTTTGAAGCATTTTTTTTTCCCTTGGCTTTGTGAAGTTAATGAACCTGTTACCTTCATGCAAGATTTTATTTTCTGCTTAAAAATACTTTCTTTCCTAAGAAGAGAAAATTAACTCTTTTGAAACTGTCATCCTATTTTTCTCCAGTTGAAATCTGGAACAGCTGCACTGCATTGAGTGGAACTTTCTCTGAACTTCTATATCTACAAAAATGCCTCCAGATTTGCATTTAGCTTTTAATATCCACTTTAAGGTGGTATAGCATTTCTAAATGTACAAACCAAAAGGTACAAAGGTACCTCTGGAAAGGAACAAATCAACTAAGGAGTATGTCTGCATGAATTATTAAATACTCTGTTTATCAGCTGATGATAGAGTATTGAAGAAAGGGAGGATTTTGCTTGAAAATCATCAGGCAATAGGTTTTAAAAATTAATTTATTCTTGCTTATGAGATTGCATAGAAGCTTAGCACACAGAGTTGGTTTTCAATGGACTGAAAATAAATGGAACTGCTATCAATATTCTGAGGGCACTTAATAGTCACAGATGGATGGAAACCCCTTTAATTTTTTTTCCTTTGCCACCTGATAATTTCCCTTTAAGGTAACAACAATGTTAGTTTTAAATGCATTTTGATCTCTAGTGCAGATCCTGTTGTATGATTTCATATTTTTCCTGCTCCTAGGTAGTTCCATAGTAACTTGTGTTAAGAAGTTGTAGCATCAAAGAATAGCCTATGACAGGACTAGCTGTAGCATTAGCAAAACATGCAATGGCAGCAGGGATCTGCAGTGCATGTGGCATGAGACAGAGCAGAGCCACACAGTATGTGGAGAGAGAAGAAAAACTCTCTGAGGCTGGGCACTGAAGGAGCCCAGAAGCACTGAAAGGTTCCTACCTTAAAAAGGGACACACATCCTCTAATCCCTGCTCTTTGGCCAGGAGGACTCTTGCAGGGTTCCTCTCAGCTCTGCTTTCAGTCTTAGCCCCTCTAGTGGTCCTAACCACAGAGTGCCCTTGTGAGGGGCAGCAGGGGGTGAACCTCCCCTTGCACTTTTCTCTGGCCAGAATAGTCTTTGCCTCAACCTGCCCTCTGATGAGCTCTCACTAAACAGTGCATTAAAAGCCCCGCTGGATAATGCATGTATTCTAGTTCTGATGCTGCACTGGAATGGAATGAAAAATGGTTTCTTTGCTTTAGGGTGAAATCAACAGGCACAAATGTATCTATTGGAAAGACCTTGCCTTCTGTGTGATGTGGCTTTTGCATTTATTTTCCTTCTGTGGCTCATTACAAAGAATATCAAAGCCAAAGTTACTCTGTATTTTCTAGTTTCAAGCAAAGATCAGTCCTCTAACTCTAAAGTTAATTCTTTGCGTACAAAAGGGACTTATTTGAAAGCCATCTAACTAGAAAAAAAGGTTTTACTGATGCTTAAAGCACAGAGTGATCATAAAACCTAAGAAATTTAGGTCCTTTATCTGAAAAGCTTCTAAGGGGATCCAGGGGTGTACTGTGACAGAATAAGGACCTGCTCAAATCACCACATGTATGTTTTTGATTGCTTCCCTGCAGTAATTTATTACTCAAAAAGTTAAAAAAGGAAAAGGCTGAAGGGGTGGTGTTTGGCCATCATTGCATGTAGCACGGGTCCTGATGCATTTCTGGCCTCCTGTACATAAACATATCTTTTTCATATACTGAGTCTTGCACATTTAAACAGATATAATTGAGACATTATGAGGGGATTCAAGAAAATTAGACATTCACATTTCCTTTACTATTCTTCTCGATGCAGTTCAAGCCCAGGGTGGTGAACAACCAACAAAGTCAGAGTATGTTTCTCCATCTCTCCTGCAGCGACAAAAATGTAGGTACTTTTATGCTGATCTCTTTCTAAGGTTTTGTTCCAAATAGAGGTGATAAATAGTAAGATTATGAGAATATTTTGATTCCTAGCTACACACATACCACATACAATAAAAGAGAAGCCCTCTGTACAATATATCCAGTTCTCAGACAATCTCTGACTGCTCTAAGCTTGGGAATTTCCTCTGAGATCTGGCCCAGTGGATCTGCTCTACTGATACGATACAGTTATCTAATCTTTGACTTCACGAAAGGTACATAACTTATATCTAAAAGTGTATTTTCAGAAGAGGTGTGTGTTTACATACATATCACCAAGGTACTTGATAGTAGGTAATAAAAGGCACATTTTTTTACACTGTGTCAAGATGACTGCATTACTCACAAGAGAATAAGAAAGCTGTAACTACCTTAAACATTAGAATAATTATGTACTACAAGATCATGCATGACACATAACTGGACAGTGCAAAATAAGGGTGGAAGGATCCAAAGCTGACTGGTGTATTAGTGATGACAGTCACTGAAATAATTGGTCATTAAGTTGCTCTGCAAAATGTGTCCACAGATTATTTAAAAATAGCTGTTGTAGTCAGTATTACAATACAGTGCTCTGAGGATCATATTGCTGCTTTTGAGTTCAGAGTATCAGGGTCAGCATCAGATGGAAGTCTTGAACAAATGATGGAAGAAAGTACTACAGTCTGTGCAATTTAGCTGTTAGTGAAATTTATAGAAAGACAGAACATAAAGCATTATGTAAAAACCACTAATAAGACCTTGTGGAAAGTTTCCACTAGAGTGTAACTAGTAGGAAATATTATTCACTAAAAAGATTAGCCAATCTCTACCCATGTTTTAGGACTTCAGAAAAGATTAAACCTGGTCATTTTTTCTCCTTTCTATTTTCTACCAGCTTTCAAATCCCAAGGAGTGACAATCATTCCACCTTTTCAAAACACACTGAAAGTAAAGGGTAAGTAAAACAAATGTCATGGCTCAGATATCTGTGCCCTTGTTAATGACAAAGAGCATGGAGTGACTGGAAAAAAAAAAATGTGTAAGAACCTTTAGCATCATAAAACAAAAAATTAACAGAAAATTAATTTTAAGGGGTAATACAGATAATGTAAATGTGAATCTAGGGCTTCTGACTCATTGTTCTATGATGCAGCTGTAAGAAAAATTTTTAATATATATATATTTAAATATGCATATGTATTGTACATGTTTTTCCATGTACATTATACAATACACTGGTATTATATATATTTCCAGTGAAGTGAGGAAAATACTAGTGTGCTGAAAACTGTTGAGGCACTTATCCAGGGAATAGGGTACTATTCAAGCAGGCTGAGTGTAAATGTGGAAAGGGATTGGGAAGATAATCAAGGATTTTTGGAGAGTATGCTTGCAAGGAAAGGAAGACTGAAAAGAAAGAGATTTCTATAATGGGCTGGGGGAGGATTAGGGAGGTGGAACCCCTTCAAGGTGAAGTGTAATTTTGGCACAAGAACACCCAGGCATACATGGGACAGGAATATATTTTGGAAGATGTTGACCAAAGTCTTCCAGCCATTTAGAGGTTGTGGGTATGAGTGGTCTTCCCAAGTAGGAGTATCAGCTAGTTTTAAACTAGCTTTAAAATGGTTTTATGATGAAATTTTACATACATACATTTAAGAAAGGATTATGGGATAGGGAAGTCATCAGAACTAGAGCACTGGATCTAGTGACCCCAGAGGTCTTTTTTGATCCTAGGCCCTATATCCCTATGCAACACTGATTAAGCACAAAAAGCAACTGAAATAAATAAATAATGACAAATAAATATCTTGACAAAACAGAAAAAAAGATGAGTTTTTTGGAAAGAGGCTGGTGAAAGAAGCAGGAGGGATAAAACATCTACAGGGAGCATATTACAAAAAACTACAGAAAATTCTTATTGCTTATTTTGAATCCACAGCTGGCAACCCCTCTCACAATGGCCGTGTGTGCAGCACATGGGGTAACTTCCACTTCAAGACCTTTGATGGGGACATCTTTTACTTCCCTGGGGTCTGCAATTACATCTTTGCATCCAACTGCAAGTCTTCCTACGAGGACTTCAACATCCAGATTAGGCGTGCCATGGTGGAAAATACTACTGTGATCACTCATGTCATCATGAAGCTGGAAGGAGTAGTGATTGAACTGACCCCCAGCTCTGTCCTGCTTGACAACAAACTGTATGTTCCTACCTTGTTCTGGGCTCTTTGAACAAGTATCCCTTTCCCTCATCTCATCATTGCTCTCAAGCAGTGGGAGGGCTCAGGTCCTTCCTGAAGTGGTAACAAAAACAAAGGAGGGCTTGACAGCAAGCTAAGTGTCTCTTGTACAGATTATCCCTGTGGCTGTTTTGTTCAGATGAGCTGTATCCAATATACTGTCCCACTGCTACAATAGTGTATGTATGTAAGCAATTAAGTCTGTAAGCTGCATTCTTTACACCCTTGAAGTTAGTAGTTTCTATTACTCTTACCACAGCAGAATCCCTGTGAGGAATTTTTGACAGCTTTTGTTCTTGCACTGAACAGTGTGCAGTAAAGCAGTGACTGCTCTTCAGCTTGTACCTGAATTGATTTTAAATTATCTGTTTGCTATCTATGTAGCAATTGTAGCACTGACTTTTGCATGGGGTATGAAACCTACCCAAAAATGCCAGGTAAATATTTGGGCAGCTATCCCACAGTGAGTTGTCTGCTATGGCAGCTATGTACAGTGAGCTAGTCTAAAGGTTATCTTGGGTACAGCTTCCTGAATGACACTCATGTCACAGAAAGCCTGGAGTCTATCCCTTTATTAGCAAAAGCTTCAGGGAGTAAATAGCAATATCCTGAAGCACACTGGCTGCAAAACAGAGCCTCCCACCACTTTTTTAAAAAATGCAATTGCAGAAAGATGCTAACATTTTATCCAGCAAAACACCCTTAATGGAGAAAGTCAAAAAGAATACCAGGAGGCTGATCCTTTTGCATGATGAGAGGCAATTGAATAGGAAATGGACAAAATATTAAAAACCTGTGCTGTCTTTAGTAGTTATTGCCCTAATTTCTTCACAGATACATGCTGAAAATTCTCAGAGAATGAGAAAGGATATCATTGTGGACATTCAATGGATATTCTGTCCCTACCTCTGCTGACTTACGATGATCTTTCCCCAGGGTCCAGATGCCCTACAGCCATATGGGAGTCTTTATAGAGAGAAGTAACAACTATTTGAAAGTTTCTGCCAAGCTGGGACTGACCTTCCTTTGGAATGGACAAGATGCCCTCCTGGTAAGAAAACACCCAAAACACAGCAGAAAGTCTGTATTTTGAAAATAATCTGCTTACACCTTTGTAGTATTACAGCCAGGCAAACATTAGTTACTTCTGGATTGGTGTCCATTTTTAGTGTAGTGTTCTGTCTTCCAGTCTTCTCTCAATTTCCTGCTTTTTGCCACCAAGCTCAGCTCAGAATCAATAGATGCCAAATGTTCCTACCTCACCATGAAGTATTCCTGAGATTCCAGACCTGGCAAAGTATTGATGTTCACAACCCAGGGCTAGGATAAGAGCGAGCTTTTCTTGGTCATCACTGACCGTTCCAATGGTGCCTACCTTGTTATCACACAGTACAATCTCCACAAGAAACATATCTCAAATTTTGAGTACACAAGCAGTACTGGCATAGGCTGTGCTCCTAACCATCAAGAGTGCCCTTTCTATAAATCTCCCTCTTTTTTTTAGGTGGAACTAGATAAGAAATATGCAAATCAAACTTGTGGACTTTGTGGGGACTTCAATGGAATTCCAGTCAGCAATGAATTTATTTCAGGGAGTAAGTAATGAAAAGCATTATTAAGTACTGGTGCTTTTTTTTTTTTTTTCTTCTTAGAATATACTTTAATATAAGTCGTGGGTAGAAAACTGGGGATGCTTCATGTATTCCTGTGACGTCAGTTATGCAAAGCCAGGATTTTGAGATGTAATTAGACTGCTTCCATCACTGTTAGATATTTTAAGACCTGCCGCATTAAAATTTCTAGTTGTTTTCAATAGTTAGGATCCAGTTTTTTATATACATTGTTCATATTTTCCCTTTCATACTATAGAGATATTATTTGGTAATCACTTTTTTTGTTCATGTCATAGCAGGTAGTGTCACAAAAGAAAATAACTCCATGGAAAATTTAGTAAGCATTATTCTAATATTTGAACTCTTTTTTACAGAGACAAGACTGACCCCCATACAGTTTGGTAATAGGCAGAAGATGGATGGTCCCACAGAGCAGTGTGATGATCCTATTCCTCCTACTTCTCTGATGAACTGCTCAAGAGAATTTGTAAGAACCTCTCTGTCAAAATTTGTTTCCTCACTATGAATACATCCTCTGTCTTTCGAAAAAAAACATTTTAGAAGGGGGGAAAAAATAGAGCATGAATATGACTCAGCTATAGGTCTCAAAAGAAAAATATTCTTAATTTCATGTTGTATTCTATATTAAAGTGAATGCCAAAAATTTTCATTCCCCTTCTACAAGAAGACTGCATATTCTCCATAAAGAGAAAATTACTGAGGATGTCTTAATATAAAGAAATTATATAATGCTTGGGAAGTGACCTGAGGTGACAGTAACTAAGGGTATGAAAGCTACAAGAGTTATTCAAAGGAGTTCCATGTGCCCTAATGTTTTATTTTTCCTTAAATATCAGCTTATAGATACTGTTGGAAGGGTTTCTGGACCAGATCAATCTTTGATTTGTTCTGCTCCATGCCTTCATTAATTATTTTCATATGTTCTCAGCACTTTGTTTACCTTCTTTCTTTTCCTTCCTAGGCCTCTATCTGTGAGACAGTATTAACCAGCAAAGCATTTACAAGTTGTAACGTGCTTGTGAATGTCCAGGACTACATTGAAACTTGCATACAAGACCTGTGCCACTGTGACAGCTCTATGGCTGACTTCTGCATGTGCAACACCTTTGCTGAGTACTCCCGGCAGTGTGCTCATGCAGGTGGACAGCCCCAGAACTGGAGAACCTCAGACCTGTGCCGTGAGTATCTCGGGAAGGGACCTCCACCTGTGCTTACACATCTAGCAAACCTCACATGTGTGAGGTTTTTTCCTGAAGAAGACAGTTTAAAAGTGCATGCAATTATAATGAAACCAGTTTTTACCTGGTCATACACTAGACTTTGGGAATATGGACGTTTAGGGGATATTGCCTAGGGGCTTTTCAATATGAATGAGAAAATCTAAAATGTTTCAGCCTCTGCTTGGATCAGGATACCCTATCATATCTTGACAGAACACAACCTAAATTGAAAAAAAAATGCTTTCTCAAACGTTTAAATGAAAAGCCAGCTTTATAATACTCTTTCTACTTTTAGCCAAATCATGTCCATTCAACATGCAATACCATGAGTGTGGCTCTCCCTGCTCCGACACGTGCAGCAACCCGGAACGATCTGCACTTTGTGAAGATCACTGTACAGACGGCTGCGTCTGTCCTCCAGGCAAGATCATTTCCTGCCCTTTTCTCACATGAACCCCTCTGGAATACTCACCTGTACACATTTAACAACTTTCGTACTCTGGATCATTCCCATCACATCATCAGTGTTATTGTCATGGAAGTAATAGCTACATTTCTTCCCCTGGATGCACTATTTCTATTCAAACTACTAAATACGGCCTTTTAAACAACAAATGTGCTTTATATATATGTTTTTAAAATTTATATATATAAAATGGCTGAGAATAAGATAATCTGCTCCTAACAACAGCAGTCTTCTATTCTCAGCATTCAAATTCAGTTCACAGAAAGTATAAAATGTTTAAGCAGATTTTGCATGCAATCATAACTCCTGCTGTCAGCAAAGCTGCATCTGGTTCCACAAATGACCAAATCCTCCTTGTCAAGTGTTGTGTCTAAACAACAAGGAGCTGACAGAGCACTAGGTAGTGTGTTAGATCTGGTGCTTCAGAGAATTACACACAAGAACTGCGTATCAGTACAAGATAGATGTGTTCTTTGTGTATATTTCTGGGTCTAAATTTTTGTTGCTGTTGTGACTGTGTATCACAGGAGCTTCACCCCTTGCAGCTGTTCTGCCCATCCCCATGATGTCTCACAGAATTCACCATAATTTGTTTGTGTCGTAGCATTGACTTATCTAAGTCAATCCCCTGTCTCTGGGCATAGAAATATTTACTGTACAGATATGTCATTGGGCAGTCTTACAAATTGTTCATATATTTCAGCTCGTTACCTAATAATTTTAATCCTAATTCCATTCAAATGAAATCCATAACAGAAAGGTACTTTCCTAGAGGCCCCTTTTGATCATGCTAAGATTTTAAATAGACTTCAATGGAATATAGCCCTTCAATCTCTACATAGCCTGCACCCTAATATTTTAAAGTACAGCAGAAATGGGACATAGGCTCAGGCATCTGCTAGATGTGGGTTCAAAGGCAGGTTCTGTATAGCACAGAATAAATAACAGACCCTTTCTTTTCCTAGGAATGGTATTTGATGATGTTAATGGTGCTGGCTGCATTCCCCGCAGAGAATGCCACTGTACCTATGAAGGTGAAACTTATGCTCCTGGTGCCTCCTTCTCATCTAAATGCAGATCATGGTAACATATTTTCTCACTTTTTGGGTTTTTGGGGGGTTTTTTTGGGTTTTGGGTTGGGTTTTTTTGTCCATGAGCTGAATATTTACTGATTTTTCCCTTAAAAAACAAATGAGCAACTACTTACCAATTGAAGTTCCATAATTACACTGCTTTAGAGGTTGCTTTCACGTCCATTTTCCCTTCACACTTGGAACAAAAATTTGAGTTTTTGAACAGGTGGTTCAATTTCAAGAAATTCCAATCAAGGAAGATCATCAAAGTCAAATACCAGAGGTGTTTAAAAATGTGAATTAGTGTTATACTTTTGCAGCACTACTGTGTAATGCTAAGGTGCTCATATAAATATTATAGAGATCATGACATTTGGGGGCATGTTACATTTAGTGTGGGAGATCACATTTGAGAGGCATGTTTGACAAATATACATTTTTTATTATCCCTATAATTACTGAATTATTATTGCATAAGTGTATGCGACTGTACCTACCTATTTATTTATTTTCCAAGAAATACTTAAAATATTTGAAATGGATGAATGAAGTTCACCAGGACTGAATTCTGTCCAAAGATTGGAAATGAACAACAACATATATAGAAAATTATCACCTTAAGATAAATGTGCCTGCCCCATATTTGTCTGAGATTTCAAAGCAATACTGGTTTCTTTGGCACTATGATCCGTGTTTCAAGAGGAAAATTAGGGCATCATCTGCCCTTACTGCCTTTTTATTTTGTGTACACTTGCATTACCCAATGTCACTGAATGCCTCCTTCATTTCAGTACCTGTGTTGGAGGTGAATGGTCTTGTGTCACTCAGTCATGCCCTGGGACTTGCAGTATTGAAGGAGGTTCCCACATTTCAACATTTGATGAGAAATACTATTCCTTCTTTGGAGACTGTAGTTATGTCCTAACCAAGGTAAAAATGAGTCACAATCCTTGCTACAGGAAAATGGTTTTATTATATATAACGTTTTTTGATGAAAACTTCTGGTAATCACATCAGTTTTCTGAGTCACTGAAGGTTAACGTGGCTATAGGGTTAACATCCCTAAATGGATTTCAGGTGCTTTTCTGTTAGGGTTATACTAAATCATATTGTAGTATTTTTATGTTCTTTGATAATTTTTTAGGATTTGCACTGAGTTTTTATGTTAGATTTCATAAGCCTAGGTGTATTCATTGTTTATTTTTACTGAATGACTTAGGTAAACTATTTTCATAAGGACTTCATATTAAATAAAATCTTCTTGACATGATCAGTCTGAATGTTACCAAGAAAAAGAATAATAAAATCTTAAAAATTAGCTAGAATGAGATGATTTAGAAATAGATTAACTTAAATCATTAAAACTTTTGGATAAGATTCACAAGCACTGCTTTAATGCACAATGGCAGCATAGGTCAGACTTTGACATTAAACTCCTTCTTTTGGCACCAACACGTAAAATTAGATTCTCAGGGTCTCTGGAGGCAGAGGAAAACCCCTAAATTTGTAAACAAAAGTTCAAAAAGCCTCAGAATTTAATAATGAATTTCTAGATGGCTATAATTCTGCATCTCAGCTGTCTTCAATTTAGTCCTTAATATGCCAAAAAAGTGATACGACACATTCAGAATTAAAGCCTTCTCTGAGTCTTTCTCTGTGTTTTGGCCATTAGGCACACTTTGAAGATGGCTCACGGAACACAGTTCTATGAAAATCAGAACTGGGTCAAAATCTGAACCTTTATGTAGCAACTTCCTGAATAATAATTTCATTTTCTGTGAGAGGATATTTAAATCCATATTTCCTACCTGTTAAAAGAATGTCCAAATCACCAGGGTCTTGAATAATCTATTCAGTGCAGAAGACATTGGAAACAATCTTTTCTCTCCCTGGTGAACTTCATAACCAGTGGGCAAGAAAGGCACACCTCCTTCTGATTTAGCATACTAAACAGGTATTACCTACACATTATGAACTTGTCTTACTAATGCCTGAGGAAGTTTTAATGTTCAGATTAATATGTCTAACTCACCCCTGAAAGCCAGAAGCAATGCAGTGTGCAGACTGCATGAATGCCAACTTACTTGGTGATTCCAGACATAATGTTAGACCATAAGAGGAAGAAGAAATTAAATAAAGTGTTTTTAAAAGACTAACTTTACTAAGAGTTCTGTTTGAATTTTTTTGAGATAACTATTTCAATATAGCAAATCGTTTTAACAATACCTTTGGTTTTCTTCTTCAAGCTCTGTGACAGCAATGAATTCACAGTGCTGGGGGATATCCACAAGTGTGGCCTGACTGACACTGAGACATGCCTCAAGGGTGTCGCCATCAGCCTAAACGGGGGACAAACGGTGAGCAGCAAATGTACACACCTGACATCCTGCAGGGATGTTCTCTAAGGTTAACAGACAAAGCAAATGACACCTAACAGCACAGACAAGAAATTTGCACTGCCTTTTTGTTTTATCAAATTTGAACATTATTTTTAATTTTTCTTTTAATAAGTAAGCACATTAGAAGGGAAGATCTTAGTAGCTTTCTGTTACTTAGATAGCTTCTGGTTTTTGCTTTCTTTGACAGTCAGTGGAACACAGTAATAGAGATTAAGGAAATAGTACAGGCATCAGAACCTCATCATGGTGTCCCTCCATTATTTTTCCCTTTATCTCGAGTAGTATTGGATAGGAAACATTTAGAAAGTATTTAATTTATCTGCTTGATAATAATTGTCTTTTCTTGTGAACAGAACATTGTGATCCAGCCTTCTGGGAGTGTATTTGTGAATATGATCTACACACAGTTACCATTCTCAGCAGGTAAGTTCTTTTGAAAAACTTGTAGTTCTCATTTTTATCTTAAAATGTTATTACATGAGTTAACTAAAGATAGATTCTACCTCTGGTTACACTGCAGAAAACCCAGAGCACTGCCATAGTGCTCCCATTTTTATGTAATAGGATTTGCCTATTCAACATTAATAACTTCAGCAAGATGATGGTTTATATTTAGAATATGTAATTAGTTCAAGAAAATTGTGTTATTGCACACTTTCAGATCCAAACATTGTTATAAGAGAGGAAAGAAAAATTCTGACATGAAACTGGACTACCAGAAGTGTGTTCTTCCCTCATTTTAAAACACCTGACAGAAAATGGAAGTTTTGTATACATTTGTTGCTTAGATGTTTAGGTTGGACTGTTTTGGTGCTGGATTTGAAATCCTGTAAGGATCATTTTCCCCCCCAGTTCTTCAGAAGCTAGGATCATATCAAACACAGCTATAGAATTCCTCTACAATATTGTTCCTATAATGAACAATTATTTTCAATTGCTCATCTCAAATGGAATTATAACTATTTTGTTCTTATATCCGTAGCAAACGTCACCATCTTCAGGCCTTCATCTTTCTTCATAATTCTGCAAACAACTTTTGGTCTTCAGCTACAGGTTCAACTCGTGCCTTTAATGCAAGTTTTTATAGACTTGGACCCATCACATAAAGGACAGACCTGTGGTGAGTGACCTTGTCCTAACAACTGCCTTCACCAGCACCTGTCATCCTGTAGGAGACTTGCACAGACCATCTGCTTCCTTCTAGGTCTCTGTGGAAACTTCAATGATGTACAGACAGATGATTTCAAAACCACCAGTGGTGTGATAGAGGGCACTTCAGCTGCCTTTGGCAATACTTGGAAAACTCGGGCTGATTGTCCTGATGCCAAAAATACCTTTGAGGACCCCTGTACTGTCAGCATACAAAATGGTAAGCTCAGCAATCTCTTTTATTCTCCTTTAAAATGCAAAGATGGAGTAAGCTCATCAACCACCAAGCATTTAGCCAAAATAACAGAACTATTTGCAAATGCAGACAACTTTCCTCGGTTGACACTAGAAATCTTCAATTAATAAATAATAGCTAGTAAAATATTTTGGATCTTCAGATATATTCTTTTGGATGAATACAGCAAGTCAACTTAATTAAGGGAAAATGGAACCATACAGCATATTAGGGTTCATTCCTGAAAAGGACTGATTGTCACAGCTATGCCTAGCCCCTCTGAAGGTTGTAGCCCTTCCACTCTCAAACTAAGAACCAAACTTGCAGTTCAGAGACTGAAATCATTCAAGCTGCATTTCAGCCAACAAAATAAGAATTCTTGAGTATTCACAAGCTATTCTTCTGTTTTCTGAGATGAACTAGCATAGTTTTAATTTACAGTGCGAACCTTCCTTTTTAAAATTCAGCTAGGGGTATCTTTAGTCTCTTCCATGACAATTATGAATTAGAGAACATTCAGTTTATGAAGAGTTCATACTTCTGCCTAGAGGAAGTGAAAGCCTATGTGCCTCAGCAAATGCAGAGCTTAATTATATTGTAATGTTAAGCTTCTGTAATTTCCCTGGAGGCGGTATAGTTATGTTGAGACAAGAGTTTTGCAAATGCACTGCCATAGAAATCCTTACCATGTTTTCAATTCACAGACCAGTATGCTCAGCACTGGTGTGGACAGCTCTCTGATACCACAGGACCTTTTGCTGAATGTCACTCAACAGTGAATCCAGAAGTTTATCAAAAGGTATTTGGCTCTAACTCCATCCATCCAATGTAGGAGAAAAACCCTCAGATTTCTGATACTAACACCTGAGAGAATAACTTGCCAGTTGTGAGGAGATGCATTCATGATAGTTCTTTACAAGCCAAGGGTTCATTCTTGTCTACACAATATGAAATTTGCTCCTTTGTGAAACTATCTTTCTTTCTATTCCCTGGAGGATAAACATACATGTGTTTTCCTCCTGCATCTATTTTTAGGCACAAACTTAAAGACTAAGTTAGGAGTTTGGATTTGCTGTCAAAGAATAAAAATTGTCCCTTCTGAGAGATGTAATGAAAGCTTTAGCCAGAATCTTTACTGGCACTTTAACTCCTCTGAACTGCTCTCAGAAGGCTTTTGCATACAAGCAAGGACAAGGCAAGCAATGTGCGTAAAAACCAACGAGAATTAGACAAGATGTGAATGAAAATGTTCCAGGAATTTTAGGTCATGAAACCCTGTACCAGAGTCCCTGGGTACTTTAATTAACCTTCCTGTTATTGGAAATTTGTATTATGCTCAATAAATATCATCTGGAATTAACAATACTGTATTATCCCTGCCCAGCATAGAAACACATAAAATAACTTGTATTCTTTGTTCCTCTGCTGCAGAGAGCCCAGGCTCTTAAGAAAAAGCTCCAAAAGTTGGGTGGCATCAAATAATCTCCATTTATTCTAAGTATATATGGCACAGTGGCAACAAATTTGGAGTAGTTGGAAATCTGCCAATGTGAAAAAATAAAAAGAAAAAAATAGTTCAAAATAGTGAACCTCTAATTACTCTTTTTTCGCATAAATAATCTCTTTTGAAAGAGCTCAATGAAAATCAGGCATATACACTTATTCATGTCTAGTCCACTTATACATGTGGATTACACTCACTTTAACCTCTAATGAAATAACACACTTAAAAAACTGCAGAGTTCTGTGCTTTTGACATGACATTCTGGTGATCACATCTTCTGTTCCTAGACCTGCATGTTTGACACATGTAACTGTGAGAAGAGTGAGGACTGCATGTGTGCTGCCCTTTCCAGCTATGTCAGAGCCTGTGCTGCTAAAGGAGTTGTTCTCACTGGATGGAGGAGCAAAGCCTGCAGTAAGTTTTACATCCCTTTGCCTTTTGAAAATGATCAGCCAGAAGGTCCCACACAGCAACTCTCAGGGATTCCACAGTAAATTGTGTTAAACTGGTATTTAAGTATAGCATTGACTTTCAAGAAGCTGAGTAGGAAAGGAATGCCATAAAAGAGAAACAGCAAACAAGGAGAAATATTAAAAATAGGCCTTGCTAGATTACTTGCTCAGAACCATCAGAAAAAACCTGAAGAGTAATACCTTTAAAACAGGAATAAGTAGGGTGTTTCTCAACTTTGACAATAAGTATAAAAACAGCATAGAGGAAGAAACATACTGTGTCTTAATATAATTGAACTTTGTTCTTTTTTTAACTTGAGCAAAACATTTGACACATTTATAAGGGAAAATTTTGCTCTGTTACTACAAAAAATTACACTAATAGGCATATCAGTAAAGCATATGTACATACAATGCCATGTTTATCATACATACTTTATCTCAAATACTTTATACCTATATTGATTCTTGAATGAACAACAAATGTAACTCACCTTCTTACTCTCAAGCAAAATACACCACCTTGTGTCCGAAGTCCTTGAAGTACACCTACAATGTTGATTCCTGTCAACCCACCTGCCGCTCTCTGAGTGAGCCTGATGTCACATGCAGCATCAAGTTTGTCCCAGTTGATGGCTGTACCTGCATAAATGGAACCTACATGGATGACAGTGGCAAATGTGTGCCTGCTTCTAGCTGTCCTTGTTACTACAAAGGAACGCCTCTGTCTTCTGGAGAAGTTGTTCATGATAATGGTGTTGTCTGGTAAGAGATTGGTTATAGGCAGTCATGAAATGATATAAATGTTATGAAATCAAATCAAACTAATTTCTATAACAAAAATTTTCAATTAAAAAATCACAGCCTCTTAAATTCTTAGGGCTACCCATGTTTGGAAGATTGTACATAAACTACTACAGAAATTCAACAAACAGTCCAGTCCTGTTGTGGGTCAGTCTTTGCTAACAGCCAAACTCCCACCCTGTCCTTTTCTGTCAGCCTCCCTTCCTCCCTTGCCTCCACACATACTTTTCTAATCCGTGACTGTAAAAGGCTTGTTCCATGGTGAAAAATGCCTGATAATCCTCTTAAAGATTATTCCCATTATGATGGGAATCTGAACTATTCTTAAGGACAGCTTTAAACCAGGCATATAGACAGAGAAAACATTTAATTATATAGAATCAACTTCTGTTTTGTTCTACTCTAATATAGAATATTAATGTTTTTGAAATGTGCAAACTATTTGATAAAGGATGCATTTTATTTTATCACAGAGTAATTCTTCATTATTTCAAGTTAATTGGGAAATAGGCTGAAACTTAACAAGAAGTTTAAAAATTATCCATTCCCTTCTTTTTACAGCACTTGTGCCTATGGAAAGCTGAGCTGCATTGGAGAGAAGCCTGAACCAGGTAATATATCACTTAAGGTTTTCTTTAATTCTTCCTTTCCATCTTCACTCTTTATTTCTTTCTTCTCTTGTCATAATGATGCAAATTGTACAAGTCTGAAATCAACCAAGAAAATGAATTGAGGTCTTTTGTAACATAGAGGACATTCTCAAAATACAAAGAAACAGTCTTACCTTTCAGGTGGCTGAAACAAGTTGGAACCCCCTGGGTTACCCAGGCCAAAATGATACTTGGTCACCTCACTCAATGTGAGAGGAAAACTACTCACATTTTAATTAAAATGTAAAAGCAAAAAACCCCCGAAGCAACAACAACAACAAAAAAAGCCCAAACAAGTAAACGGGATATTTGTTATCCTGCTTTGTTCTGTTTTTCTGAAAGGAAGTGTTTCATGAAGCTAAATAAAAATTAATTTTATAGAGTACTCCTAGCATAATCACAAAAACCACTATGAGATCAAAACAGTATTTGGTTTCTCTCTGTCGCTACGTGCATCACATTAAGGTACACACAATTCAAAAGGAGTATTTCCATTTTTTCTTGGAAACACAAAGATACAAATGCATGGTTGGTCTCACATTTCTCATGGCTTTTACTCTCTTTCAGTCTGTGTGCCTCCCATGGTTTATGTTGACTGTGGCAATGTCACTGCAAATGTGGTAGGAGCAGGATGCCAGAAAAGTTGTCAGACTCTAGATATGGAATGTGTAAGTACAGACTCTTTATACCAAGCTGAAAGCATATTAATCAAGATATCTCTTACAATCACCAGCTGCAGCTGGACTCTTCCACCAGGGGAATGTTTCAAGACATGTTTTCTTTATGGTCCTTACAGTACAAAACTCACTGTGTCTCTGGCTGCGTGTGTCCTCATGATCTAGTGTTGGATGGCAAAGGTGGCTGTATTGCTCCAGAAGACTGTCCATGTATTCACAATGGAAATTCCTACAGTCCAGGAGAATCAATCAGAGTTGGCTGTAACAACTGGTAAGAGCATATTGAAAAATAATATTTTGGAAATAAAAAAATAGAACAGCTTAAGATCTAAGCAAATAACATTTCACTCTAGCAGTATCAAGATTTCTAGGAAGGAATCCTGCATAAAACAATCCACTTAGTACTTAAAAAGCAAGCTCTGTCTATTTTTCTCAACGGCACAGCCCAGAAATTGCAAGTTATCAGAAAAACACCATGGTTTTGATGTTGTTGTGTTCATTCAAGTAAAAAAAAAATCTTTCTTCCAAGGAAATCCTTCAATTTCAATAGATCCAACAGGATTTGGAAATGTGAATGCCTTCTGATGCAGTTGATTCATTACATTAACACAGTCTTTGAATAAATTCCAATAGTTTTTGAGCTATATTGCATTTTTAAGAATAAGCAAACCTTATTTTTTCATTAGAATCTTAACACACATTAAAATACAGAAATGTACCTATACACTGTGTTCTTGTCCAGTTTTTACATTTGGAGTGCTTTTTGTCTTGTTTAGCACATGTAGAAACAGAAAATGGCAATGCTCTGAGGAACCCTGCCTGGAAACATGCTCTGTTTATGGAGATGGGCATTATACCACCTTTGATGGCAAACGTTTTGACTTTGAAGGAGACTGTGAATATGTTCTGGTCCAGGTAACAGAGTCCTGCCTAGATTTTTGCTCTAAATACCTTGCATTTTACTGATGAACATGTAACATGTAATAAACAGTGAATGATATTCTCCTGTTTCAGAACTACTGTGGTCAACAAGCTATGAACCAGGGAACCTTCAGAGTCATCACTGAGAACATTCCATGTGGCACTACAGGAACTACCTGCTCTAAGTCTATTAAAGTTTTCCTGGGTGTAAGTATTTTCTTTAAGTTGTGCCAGAAGGATGGAACAAGATGCGCCAGATAGACTGCATATGAGAAATGGCCTCAAACATAATGAAAATGTCACTAGACTCTTTTTCTCTCTGCTCTAGAAAGCAAAGGAGGGAAATCTACAAACTTCTTAACCTGAGGTTGTTGAATAGGATCCTCTTGATGATAATACTATTATTTCAAGAACTTACTGTCAATATATAGAACTACAAAATAGTGAATTTTTAAATTGGCCTCTAACTTTTTCTTCTCCTGTCTTAGAACTATGAGCTGGTACTCAGTGATGGACACTCTGATGTCATCCAGAGAACACCTGGAGGAAAAATGCCATTCCAAATCCGTTCCATGGGCATCTACCTGGTTGTTGATACTACTGTTGGTCTGATACTCATGTGGGACAAGAAAACCAGTATATTCATCAAACTTAGTCCCAGCTTTCAGGTATACTTTAAAAGTGAAAACATGAATAAAATGAATTTGTAACATAGTCATATTATCTCTCAAAGAAAGAGGGTGGAAATTCAGGCTGTAAACCAGAAGAGCAGAAATCACCTATTATCCTTGTTGTGTTGACTTAAGTTGTGTACTATTCATTATCCTTAAATTACATTATTCAGCAATGGCATAATAATAACTTTATCAGTAGCTTTCTTCATGAGAAACCCTCACTGAAGAGACATATTTAGGATCAGCTAAAACTAAATAGCTCAGTACTTAGAATAAAACCTTCTACTCCTTCTTTTTAACAACTAGCTAGAGACCTCTCTTCCTGAAAAGAGTTTTATGAAAATGTCCAACACTGTTACTAAATAGGCACTAATAATCTTATATAAGATGGTTACATAAGAGTCATCCTGATGAACAGAGGTCTGTTACTCACAGATACTAAGAAATTGTTCCTTACTGATCTGTCATTTTGTTTGTTTACCTGATGCAGGGCCATGTCTGCGGACTTTGTGGAAACTATGATGGCAATGGAAATAATGACTTCACGACTCGCAGTCAGTCTGTGGTAGGAAATGTGCTGGAGTTTGCCAATAGCTGGAAAGTATCTTCTAGTTGCCCAAATGCCAATCGTACGCAGGATCCATGCACTGCAAACCCATACAGGAAAGCCTGGGCACAGAAGCAATGCAGCATCATCACCAGTGAAGTGTTTGCAAAGTGTCACTCACAGGTATGACAAAAAATTTAGTCTTAAATTCTTGACAAAATGATTACATCAATTTTTATGTGGAATAGATTAAAAAATACTCTAAAATACATTTTGTCATGCTTGACATAGTGAAGTTAGACCAAGTTCCTGTATAGAAAGACAGCACAGAAATACTTTCATTTTCTCAGCTTTTGTCTTCAGCAAGTACACTAAAGAAATTGATTGTTTTGGTTGGTTAGCTTGTTTCATTTAATTGAAGAAGCAACAGGAGATAACTCTCAAGATTTGTTTATTTGCTAACAGCATAATTTTCTACTAATATAAATATCAGCCACCTGATATGTATGACTCTCTACTTGCTTATAGTAATTACCAGTATTTTGCAAATGTCTTTAACACCAAACAGTTCTTAATATTGCAGCTTACTATCAATAGCTTTATTCTACATTTTCCTCTTGATTTTCCAAAGCATTCTTGGTATTTCTTCCTTTCTTAGCTTTCTCTCATACAGACCTATGAGTTTCAGATATCTTATTCAGGTATTTTAGGACATTGCAAAGAGGACAAGGGCATGAAAACTTGAATGTCTTCTTTATCAGGTTGAACCAAATGAATATTACCAAGCATGTGTGGATGATGCTTGTGCCTGTGACACTGGAGGAGACTGCGAATGTTTCTGCACAGCAGTAGCTGCCTACGCTCAAGCATGTAATGAGCTAGACATCTGCATATCATGGAGAACCCCATCCATTTGTCGTGAGTTTCAACCCACTACTTTTTTAAGGGGTTCAGAGGGAAAGAAAACAAAAGGGGAGGGGGGGAAGGAAACAAAGTAGAACAAGAAAGGAAGGATAAAATTGTATTTCTAAGAGGTGCAGCTGTATGCTTAAAAAACAAACAAAACCCAAAAAAAAAACCCTAAAAACCCCAACAAAGCAGTTAGGTAAATCAGTAGAAGACAATCTATCTTAGTAAAATGAAACCACAGGTAATAATTTTACAAGCAGTGTGATTAGTGTCTAATTAACTTGACAATCATGATACACTACTCGTGAAATACCATATTTTATTACACTGCCACATGTCTACATCAGGTTCCTTGTAAATAAAAATTAGTGCATGCTAGCTAAGATCAGTGATTCAGTCAACTGATTTTTTTCATGTTTAATGTGTAACTGTTATATGATGAATATATTTATTGGTGTTAAAAGATTTTAGAAATGTAACAATTGTATTGCATTAGCAATATGGCAATATATTGTTCACCACCTATGAGATTATGCTGATCCCGTTGGATTTTTACCTAGAAAAATGGAAACAGTATAGAGCTAAAACATCACAGATATTTTTTTCTGGCCTTTCTTCTTCTAGCTCTCTTCTGTGATTACTATAATCCACAAGGGGAATGTGAGTGGCACTACAAGCCATGTGGGGCACCTTGTATGAAGACCTGCAATAATCCAAGTGGGAATTGCCTTCATGAGATGAGGGGTTTGGAAGGTAAACATAATTATGCATATCTCATTCTACTTGAAAGGTTAAAATGCAGTATGGTGAACAAAATTTGTATTACTCAGTGTATGACATGTTTGGACTAGAAATTACAAGAAGAGATTTTCTAATTAGTATTGTATTCCCTAATGGATTATGTACTTGTTTGGAATGAAGACAAGGACAAAATACTCCAAAGCATAATGTGCAATCAAAGGAATAGCAGTAAGAGGATCTGACATTCCACTTACCATGTGGGACATTTTGGGAAAAGCAGATATGAGTGTAGACTTATTTATACTTATGAAAGGCCTACTGTCAACTTGACGCTCTTTTTATTGCAGGTTGCTATCCAAAATGTCCAAAGAATAAGCCCTATTTTGATGAGGAAACCATGACCTGTGTTTCTTATTGCGGTTGTTATGAAGATGGAAAAAATTACAAACCAGGAATGGAGATGCCTTCAAAGCAGAACTGTGAATCATGGTAGGATTAGAAAAGAATTTTTTAAGTAGTTTAAAATTGTGGAACAAAATTCATCACACATTAAATTTGTTAATTACCAACAGCAACTAGGCCAGTCAGAGGCTGATGAACAATGTCTAATTTTCTTCCCTTCCCAGGAAATTAAATGATAACATAGTGAAACAGTTTATCACCAATAGATGAATTTACTACTTATTTTGTATATCTATTAAAGTCCTTTAAAGTTTTTATCACTATTAAATGAAGTGAAAACAAGCTAAAATAATTGTAGTTAGGGAATAGTCTGAGAATTTTTAAAAAAATATACCTAAACACATCATGTGATATTTGTTAGAAGTGAGCAGCCAACTAATCTACATTGTTTTGAGCTTGTTTCTGTTACTGCACTGGTACTTGCATAGTGGCAACAGTGCAGATTCTCTCGCATTACTGGTGACAAGTGCTGCTAAGCCTCCTGTAAGGCTTAAGTACAGAGTTAGCAAATCCAGTTGTGAAGCAGTTGTCTTAAGATACCTTTAAAGTAGCTACATTTGAATGTGGTAAGCAGTGCAATCTGGATAGCAAAAATTCTAAGCCAAAGCCCACTGGAGCTCCAGCAACGTCCCTGGCAGGTTTTGCACTTCATAGATGCCTTGGACTATATCATCTAGGCCATTAACAGCACTAAACCTAATCCATTAAATACATATCTAAATTTCAGTTTATTCAGTGTATAGATGTCCTGAGGCCCTGTAAATAAATACATCAAGATTCAGTTCTTCATAGATGAATTAACTGCCCTTAAAACCAGAATTCTTCTTGCATATTTTGGAAGCCTAATGGAAATTCACTGTGTAGATAGCCTCAATATCCATGGTAGTAATCCTTTGTATATATCCTTTTAAATGCAAATGATACATTTACTGTGGTTTTCCTCGCCAAAAAAAATAGACCTGTTGGGGAGATAAGAATGTTTCAAATCATCCATCTCATGTCTTTTGTTCTGTTCCCAAAAGCACTGGTAGAGAAGCTGCATGTTCTATATGTTGGCACAAAGAAGAGCTACCTTTCTTGCCAGAGAATTTGTAGCCTGAATATAAATACCTAGCCTGAATTTGTATAGAAGAACTGACTATCTAACTCACACAAGATAGGGACATTTTACATTTAAATACACAATGAATAGCAAAGGATTGATAGAAGAAAAATTATAACAAAAAAAAATGTCATGAACCAGTATGTCCACATTCATCTGTTTTTCTCTTTTTCAGCGAATGTACAATTCATGGCAAAAAATGCAGATATGATGAGCATGGTATGTTGATGAAGACGTTTTGATGTGAATAAGACACATTTAGGGTACTCTTTGTATCAGGTAGTAAGGAATAACATCCTGTTTTAATCTACAGAATGTGTCTGCATTTATGAGGGGCAGAAGTACAACTACAAAGATGTGGTCTACAACACTACAGATGGCACAGGATGGTGTATTGTTGCAACCTGCGGTCCCAATGGAACACTTGAAAGGTTTATGCATGAATGTCTAACCTCAACATCACCCACAACAGCAACGACGTTTCATTTCAGCTCTACACCACCTACCACTACTTCCACAGGTACGTCCTTTGTAGCCACTAAGATTGTATTCTCTTGTTTAATTAGAAAAATATATTTTAAAGTACTAAGTGGATTGCTCAGATATTGGCATTGAGATATGAAAATTGTGGGTTTTAGAATACCTGTACAGCATTACAGGCTGGGAATCTCAAGTTACTCTGGGCATATGTTGCTATATGAAATCAGTATTCAGTATAAAATACCTAAGTTCTGAAATTACAGAAAATATCAGCATTGCTAGAATTCAGTAGCTATTTTCCATCTATTTCATAATGAGAGTTGACCTGCAAAAGCTCTCCAACCAATAAATGGTTTCTTCAGGTCAGAGCTAAGATACAAAATGTAGGAATGTTTGAAATAGAGGAATAAGGACTGCTCTGCACTGAGTGAGAAGCCAAGATTTGGAAGAAAAAAGTAGCAAAGGATCTTGATGCATACTATGGAAGTTACTCTTTCCACTGATTTCAATACATTGCAGAGAGACTAGTATATACTGAAAAAAAGATAGAATCAAGGCAAATACATTGAACCAAATGCAAAGCAAGTGAGACTTGGTTTTTTTCCGGAGTATATAAATTAGACCTGAGCCTTATTTCAGCACCTTGTAACACATAATTAGTATTCTCTCAGGAAGTGACAGTTCCAAGCATGTCACTACATTAAATTGCTGGGTGATGGAATTTCTGTTCTAAAATATACTAAAATAAAGTGATTCACTGCAGGAGCATAATGCAAGACAAATGACATTAGGAAAACTGTCAGCCCATTTAAAAAAAAAAAAAAAAAAAATTACAAAACGTTACATTTAACAAAAAATAAAAAAAAAAAAAAAAGAAAAATAATATCCACAGGAATTCATTCTTAATTTCATGGTCTCTTCCTTTCCCTTTTCTCCTTCACAGTGTCACCAACTACATCAGTATGTGTTCATGAAGTCTGTAAGTGGTCTGAATGGTATGACGGGAGTCTACAAACCCCTGGCTATGATGGGGGAGATTTTGAAACTTTTGATGATTTACGAGCAAAAGGTTATGAAGTTTGTCAAGCCCCAAAGGCCGTTGAATGCAGAGCAGAAAAGTTCCCTGATATACCACTGAAAGACCTTGGACAAAAAGTAGAATGCAGTACGACACAAGGGCTTATATGTTACAACAAGGAACAAATTTCAACAATGTGCAACAACTACGAAATTAGAATCCTCTGCTGTGTATTTGTACCATGCTCTTCCATGCCTTTCAGCACATCAACCCCAGTCACACCTCCAACTCCGACAGAAACATCTACTGAAACAACATATTCAGTTACTACTGAAAGTACAACATTGATACCTTCACCTACTGAAGAAACAACTATAACAACAACACCTGTCACCACACCTCCTTCAACAACTCACCTTTGTTTCAAAGAAAAATGTTACTGGTCAAGATGGTACGATGTCAGTTATCCAGGGTCAGGTTACAATGATGGAGACTTTGATACGATAGAGAACATTGAAAAAAACGGATACAAAGTCTGCAACAATAGAAAGGATGTAGAATGTAGAGCAGTACGGTTCCCTAATACACCATATCCTCTACTAGAGCAACACATAACATGCAACAGAGAAGAAGGGTTGAAATGTTACAATAAAGATCAACTGCCACCAATCTGCTATAATTATGAATTAAGATTTAAATGCTGTATGAATATAACAGTGCCATGTGAAACAACACCTGAAATTTGGACCACAACACCACCAACTAATATTCCATCAAGTACAACACCCAGACACGAACCAACGACACTAAGTTTGCAAACAAAACACAAGACAACAACAGAATACACAGTTGAACCAAAAACAGATTACATACACACAAGAATAACATCAAAACCAACGACGCAAACTCAAAAAGAAATTACTACTACTACACCAGTGATAACCAGCAGAACAACATATTCAACTACCACCCCCTGTGAACCCGAAGTGTGCACCTGGAGCGAATGGTACGACGTCGATTTCCCCTCCTCGGGGCCCAACCAGGGAGACTTTGAAACCTACCAGCACATCCGCGCCGCCGGCAAGCGGATCTGCCGGCAGCCAAAGCAGATCGAGTGCCAGGCAGAGGACTACCCCGACGTGGCCATCCAGCACGTGGGACAGGTGGTGCAGTGCGACATCCACTTTGGACTGGTGTGCAAGAACGAGGACCAGACGGGCAAATTCAAGATGTGCCTCAACTACAAGATCCGCGTGCTCTGCTGCACCCCCAACTACAACTGCCCATTCTCCACTCTTTCGACTACCACCAGCACTTCCACCTTTTCTACCCTTAGTGAACCGTTCTTTACAACAACTTCTCCTCTAATTTCAACTACACCATGTTTCTGCAAGATTGGTGATTCTATTTTTTCACCCGGTTAGTGTGCTTTATTTTGGGTATTTTTTATTTATTTTCCCGTTTTTCAAATGTGGCGTTTTTTTGCTTGTTTCTTTTTCTGTGTTATCCTTTTCCTTTGTTTGTTTTTTTGCCTTCCTTTTTTTTTTTTCCTAATGTTTTATTTTTTCTTTTTTTGCAGGTGACTTGATTTATAACAGACTTGATAGCGAAGGATGTCGTTTTTATGCCATCTGTAGCCCGACATGTAATATTGAACGACACAGTGTACATTGTCCTGTCACTACTTTGCCAGCTACCACATCCTCGGAGTGGTCTACAGTAACAACAACAGTTCCTCTGCCTTCCACCTCTACACGTCCTCCTTTTCATGGTTGTGTTTCCACTCTTTACCCTCCTTTACAAGTATGTAATTTCTGTGTTATTTTTTGACTGTTGAAATAATATAATTTATTGGGTGGTTTGTGATTGGAAAAGTTTTGGAGTTTTTAAACCTTATATGTGCTGATTGCCTTAATTATTTTGCTGATGATGGGCAATGTAAATATTTGATTTTTCCTTTTTCGGGATTTCAGTTTTTTATACTGCTAAAGCAAGTGACAATATTCTTTTCTTGCTACTTTATTTTTAGTGTAACTCTTTGGTGCATTGCATATGTAATGTATCTTCTCACTGACATAATGGAAGGTGTCTTCTTATTTATCTTATTTTTTCACTAAAGGGAAATATTTAAGATCCAGTAAAGGCTTTGATCTGTTTGCACTCTACTGCCCTTTTATCTATACTCCTTTCACCTTTTTTATTCTTATGTTCTCTGGTGACCTTGAAGAACACTATACACAGAATAGAGGAAAGCAGTTCCTGTAACCTAATACATGTCCCCAAGCTCCAGAGGAGTTCCTCGTGCAGAAGAAACAAGTGTAGTTAAGGTTTCCACCTCCTTTTAGCATTAAAAAAGCTAATCCTGTACAATATCAACAACTTTTTTTCTCTCAGTGAAAATTTTCATTTTAGTCTTTGTTTTCATTTCAGAAAAGTAAGTGTGGTTTATCCCCCATAACGTGGTCAGAATTTTTAATAAGTCTAGTTGCCATTAAAAATCATTAATACCACAAGATGAAGAGAAGTAACACATACTTTCTTTTCCAACACTACCATTACTGGAAACATCATAGCATAAATCTTAACAAGAGGAGCAAAGGTTATATCTGTTTACAGAGTTTTGTGAAAAAGGTTTTTCTTCATTTTGCAGCCTGGAGAAAGATTCAAATTATCCAACTGTACTGAAGTCGTCTGCAATGGAGACAACAATATAGATGTAGTACCAACGTACTGCCCACCTGTTAAGGAAATTACCTGTGCAAACAAATATCCACCAATGCTGGTACCTGATGAAAATGGATGCTGTTACCGATATGAGTGTCAATGTAAGCATCAATAGATTCAGGATTAACATTTAAAAAAAGAAAAGCTAAGCTTTACACAGATTATATGGGCACTTTCATTTCTTAGGTTTGCTCTTAGAGTTGCAGGATCTTCAGTTTTTAAAATTTCTTCTACCTAAATTCTCATCTTAATCTTCCAAATATTTTCTCTGTACAGGTGTGTGTAGTGGATGGGGTGATCCTCATTACATTACTTTTGATGGAACCTATTATACCTTCCTTGAAAACTGCACTTACGTCCTGGTGAAACAGATTGTCCCCAGATATGACAACTTCCGTGTTTACATTGACAATTATTACTGTGATGCAAAAGATGGACTCTCCTGCCCTAAATCCATTATTATTTTCTACAAATCTGCAGAAGTGGTGCTGACTCGTCAACTCATGAATGGTGTGATGACCAATGTGGTAAATATTTTTTTTCTATTTTTGCAAGAAAGAAATAGTGTCTATGAGCCTTACAGATGCTATTTGGAGATACAGTCTATTAGAATATCACATCATGGAGGTGATCAGGGCAGAGGGTATCACTAGGAGGGAAAAAAAAGGATTGCACTGGATGATAAGAACAAAATTAATGTTTCATGAAAACTGGTACACTGTGCCGTACACTTATGTAAACAAGCACACTTTGAAGAAACACAAGTGCAAATTGCAAGCAGGAGTCTTCTCCCGGGGGGAAATGGATATGTATCCCTTATCCTCTGGATGACTGCTTTCTCTCCATATGGAACTTTGGCACCAAACAGTCCTGAAACTATTCCCCCTTCAATTTCCTACAGTGAAGAGAGCTATAGCTGAAGAAAAGGGGTGTAACTTAGACTGTCACCTCACCTTCATGATCCAAAGCAGTGTTAGCAAACCAATGAAAATGAAAAGATAGTCCCACTCTTACACTGGAGAATCTATTAGTTGATTAGAGAATCTACAGAAAGAGAGAAAATTTTGTCTGAAGAGGCACTCTCGCCTTACAGTGCCATGCCAAATTTTCAGTCAGAAACACACGTTGGTTTCCTGTGAAAGAAGACAATAACTGACAATTTTAACTCATGCTTTAGTCTGATTCAGTGAGAAAAGAGTTGCAGAATAACTTCTGACAAAAAACTATTAGGCAAGTAAGTTTACCTTTATTAACTCATGTAAGATACTGGGCTACAAATTGAAAAGTTTAACAAATAAATATGATCACTACTACATAAAAATGGCACTAAAGGCATCTGACTTCACTTTGAATTCAGACAACTCTTCCAATGTCAATTAATTTCAAATATAGAGATGGTGTGATTATCTGGCAAAGTTATTACATAATAATGGCAAGGATGTTTCTGTAGCTAAAGAAAACTACCACACATTTTCATATGAAAAATATTTCCTAGGCACATAATCATGAGGGATACAATGAAATACTTGGATTTATATGCATAGAATACTGTGTATTAGCATACAATCATCACAAACACAGTATGTAGAGGCCACTTAGATTATTATCACATTTTAGCAATATAGCAATACAAGCCAAGATATCAATGCAAATATATGCTGTCATTCCGATGCCAATGGGCACGGGATGTGATGAACAACAATAGGGAGTTATCCATAATTATGAAGATTAGAAAATATATTATTTAAAACAATCAAGCAGAAGCACTGCTTATTCTGATGTGGTGTTTTGTTTTGTTTTGTTTTTTAACCCATTCAGATGTACTTCAACAAAAAGATTGTTGAACCGGGCTTCAAAAAAGATGGCATTTCTTTCTCCACTCTTGGCATCAATATGATTGTTGAAATAGAAGAAATTGGTGCTGTCATCACCTTTAGTGGTCTGATTTTCTCTGTCAAGCTCCCATACAGCAAATTCGGCAACAACACCGAGGGACAATGTGGTAAGAAGGCTGCCCAGATTGGAGCAGGTCCTCTTTACCCACCCCTACCTTGGGGTGGGGTTCTGCTCACCCACTCTGGCTATGCAGTCTTACAATCGACAGAGATTTTTAAACAGCAGTAAATGGAAATGAGTACAGTTTTGCTCTTCAACTTCTGTAGGATTTCAAAAGCTCAATATTTCTTTGGGGCTGGGGTTTTACATCTGTTTGTTTTTCCATAGCCTGAAGTTCATATAACTAGAGGTTATGGTTCATATAACTAAAGTTCATAGAACTAGAGAAAGTGCTCCCTATGAAGCAAGGCAAAATATGCATTTCATGAGCACATCATACCTAAACATATCAGCCCAGGAATGTATTGTGCATCTCTGATGTGGCTTAGGAGACTTATCCAGCTTGTCTCTTCCAGGAACATGTACAAACAATAAAGCAGATGAATGCCGCTTACCAAGTGGTAAGATCATTTCTTCCTGTCCCCAAATGGCTCATCACTGGATTGTTGACAACAACAAGTCATGCCATGGAGTACCAATACCACCAGCTATAACCACACCTCCACCAAAGCCGCAGTGTCAAACACCTCCGCTCTGCAAACTTATCCTGAGCGAGTAAGAAAGCAAATTCATTTTTTCTAGACACAACTGTCTCAGTATCTCACAAGAAGAATAACACCTATAGCTTTAGTATGTGATAATAACTGAAAATGTCAGCTTAATGACAGAATATATATAGTAAAAGGCCTTTGCAAAAGAAACAGTTCTGCCTTAATGATTTGCATGCCAAAGATAACAGCAAGGAGAGGTAAAGTCAGAAAATCCAGGATGCAACAAGCACAAAAATCAATACTCTCTGGATGCAACACTTCCAGAGTTTGTTCATTAAGTATTAAGCAAAGACTGAACTCTAAATTTGAAGTGGGTCTTCAATACAAATCATAGAGAAGCCAGTTACCAAACAGGTGAAGGGAGCAGATGCAAACAGCTGAGAAATGTCCTTCTTTCTTTGTATGTTTTACCTAAAATATGGAGTTCCAAAAGTGCAAAGGCTTGTTTCCTGAAGTATGTCCTATACCTGGGTAGGCTGACAAGGTTACTTATAAAAGCCCTCTTATACATGCTTTCTGTAGTGTCTAGTAAGTTTGGAACTATTTTATGTGTCAATTTTCTGTTGCTACTTCTTTCACTCCTTTTTTCTCAATCTAGTGCAGTTGCCTTTTACACTATATTTCTGGTGTCAAGCCACTAGAAAGTTGTATACACATACAGAAATACTATGACCATTAACATCTTTAGAAAAAAAAGGCACTACAGATTTCTTAATCTTTGCTGAATCTATCTCCCAGCTTACTGGCCATTCCTAGGATCTTGTTTCTCATAATACCTTCCTTTCTGAAGCAGAGTCACATGCTATTAACTGGAAAGTGTTGTCTGACAGGAACAGACTTTGTATAATGGCTCATTAATATGGAAGGGGTTGCTTTCTTTACTGTCTGCAGGGTTTTTGCAGAATGTCATACTGTGATACCACCAGAACCATTTTTCAAGGGCTGTGTTTTTGATGGATGTCGCATAGATGATGAATTCATGCAGTGTTCCAGTTTGGAGATATATGCTACAGAGTGTGCTGCTAGAGGTGTCTGCATTGACTGGAGAGGAATGACCAACAATACATGTTGTAAGTATTGCAGGACTCAAAATGTGTGTGATAAATGGTAGAAATTAGTGTTTTATTCACTAAACACATCTTATATGTGAAACTTGGTTACTGTCTACAAAAACCCAGTGGGGTACTTTCTCACAGAAGCTGCAGATTAAGAAGGCAAAGCTGTAGTAATATTTTTCTGAAAAAAAAAATGCATCTACTGTCAATTTTTAATTTTTTTTTGTCTTTTTCCATACAGCATTCAGCTGTCCATCAAGCATGGTATACAAGCCATGTGGGCCCATTAACCCAGTTACCTGTGACCAAAGGTATGAAAAAACAAAAACACCCGACCCTGAAGCACCTGCTTATATTTTTCTTATCTACTTTCCTCAGAAATTTGAGTTATTACACAATGAAATGTGTTGCGAATTTCACCAACTTAGTCAAGATTTATAAATACCAATCAGCTCTAGGAACAGGTGCTTCCTGTTGCCCTTCAGAAAGTGTACATTTTTTGTCTCTCTCGTATCTGACATGACACACTGCTCTGCCCTCTGCCTCACCACAAGTGTTGTACTCAAGCAGATATATTCTTCCCATTCCAGCTATGAGCGTCCTGGCTATGGAGTAACTGAAGGCTGTTTCTGTCCTGAAGGAATGACACTCCTGCATACAGAGAGCAACATCTGTGTCTCTGAATGCTGTAAGTCATCTGTAGCTAATTTGGGGAATAAATAGAGATAGGGATTGTTAGTCAGGAGGCCTGAGTTCTATAGTCATCTTCTACATGGTCAGATCATCGCACATCAGCTTCCCTGAGTGTCCCCAGTCACAAATTGAATAATAGTCAATGTTTCCCTTTTCCCCCATCCGTCATTCCTTATGTGAGACCCACTAAGATGGTAGAACTCTAAGTTCAGCAAAATTAGTCTGCATATTCATTTTCTTGTTAGCTTTATCTTCACAGTATTTTTATTTCAAACTGCATGTATGTACTCCTTTGTCAGTTTTCAGTGGTGTAAATACCCATTCATTTTTTTGTCTCTTTTTCTTTCTAGTCTGCAGAGAACCAAATGGAATGTCCAGATGGGTGAGTGTCACATTGAGTGTGGCTTAATAAGCACAGACAAGTGAAACAAGATGATATTTAGTGTTCTACTAAACCAAAGCTTTGTCACAAATGTTCACTTTCAGTCTTAAAAATAATGAGTACTAAAGCACCCCTAAAAAAATTAACAATAAGTGATAAAATATTCTTTCAATAACCTCAAATACAGGAAAAAAAAAACTTAAAAAAAAAAAAAAAGAAGAGAGAAATCAAGAGATGGTAGTAGTGGAAGTTAGGCATTACGCTTATTTTATTTCCACAAATTTGGCTTGCTAAAATTACTTGAAATTAAGGGAGAGTTTACCTATTGCTTATCATGTTCATATCTTGCATTCTTAGTTCCTCAGCTGCACAGAAATCAGCAACCTAATGTGAAAATAAGTATGTCATATGATAATTTCATATTCAAAAAAGGATGTGAGGCTCAATCACTTCTCCTTTAGAACTCCTGTAACTTCATACTAACACTATTAACAAATAGAAAGTAATAGCTTTGTGAACTCAGAACCTTTAGTGGCCTCCAATGTCTTCCCCAAATAAGCAGTTTGAAGGTCTCCTATAAAATCTAAAATGTGGAAAAAACTTATATAATCAGTTAGCACTATATGCATGAATATGTCAGCTAGAAGCAAATAAAATTATTTTGGTTTAATTTTCTATTTAATTTTTTTCTTTCCTTTGTCTGTGTTTTTCTGTTTTATTTAGCCAGGAGAAAAATGGACAAAAGATTGCCGGGAATGTGTCTGTGACAAAAATACTCTTAAGGTGAAGTGCACAAGGCACGAATGTTCTCTGACACAGCAAGTATTTTGTGAAGAACCAGGTTACATGGCTGTTCAGATACCAATACCAGAAGATCCATGCTGTACTAGGACCGAATGCTGTGAGTACTGTCATTGTTCTTTATCATGGGCAATATGCTACATTAATTTTAGGAAACTACAGCAATCATTTCACATTTTTTAATACTTTGCATTGATGCCATAATGCTTTTTTCCCTCATCCCGCTTTTTAGAGCCTTCTTGCAGAGCATACAGTAAATGCCTGAAGATAACAAATGTAAAGATTAAAAGATTTTACATACTTAGACATAGAAAAGTAACTAAAAATCTTCTATAATTTAACATTTAAGCATTTAATACTGCCACTATCTGAAACAATATTCAAAAACCATTTAAAAAATTTTCAATTTCAAAGACCAATATTAGGAAAATTAAAAAAAACAGTCCTGGCTATTTAAAAATTGCTCAGGAAAGTTCCAGAACCAGTTATCAGACCAGAGAGTCATCAGATTTCTCCACCAGTACAAATTTCTCTTTGAAATTATCTCTTTCCAGCAATTACTACTCTGTTCTCCTCAATGTTTTGTTTCACAAAGATTATGGGAAAGCCTAATTACATTGAAAGCACCTTGGCACATAGAATGAATTAGTAATTAAACTATCTTGTGTAAACACCATATCTACCCTATGGGAAGACTTCAGAAGTTCATGTAAAACAAAATTGCTTTAATTCAGAAATTCTGAGCTTATTATTTTCTATATTCTCTTACATGAAACAGACTGCAACACAAGCCTCTGCACTGACATCACACCCCAGTGCTTAGAGGGACAGGAAATAATCACTATAATGCCACCTGGAAACTGCTGTCCTATCTTTGAATGCAGTAAGTATTGTGCACCCTCCTCATGTGCTATTTACTGCTGTATTTTTCTAAGTAACAAAAACCTTATAAGAGAGATGTAAGTTATCTGTGGTATCATATTGGGCCTTGTCGTGAATGAGTGTTTTAAGGCCACTGCCACAGGCTTATGAAATGGGCCTACAAAGCTATGAAACAGAAGTTTTTTCATGCATTTCTGGCTCCTAAAACTTACACCTCCTTCTTCCTTCTTTACAGGACAGGGCTGTGTAGTCAACGAAACCTATTATGCAGTAAGTACACAGAGTTACTCATTATGAAAATATACCCTCACATAGTTCGCAGAGCAGTGTTTTTGAGACACCCATCATGGTCCATATCTTGTAGGAAGGCCTGAGATAAAACATTATTGATTATTTCACTGAGGTTAACACCCTCTGTACAAGCAAAATCATGTTCTGCTCTCTTCCTTTCTACATTAGCAGAATTTGATTCCAAAATCGATATTACCAAACCAGAAACTCCGCTTAAATAAAACAACCAAAATTGTATTTATAGATAGCTTAGCCTATACATAGGTCATCTTTGTATTTTCTGTGATGTGTATGCACAGAGCAACTTAACTGACCAATAATGGGTTTTTCCAACTTCCCCTAGCCTGGAGCTGCCATTCCATCAGGCCCCTGTGAAGAATGTACCTGCTCTGCATCCTCTCCCTCAAGGCCTCACCACCTTACGGTCACGTGCCAGCCTGTCATCTGTGACACATACTGCCCGCTGGTGAGTGCTGCTCTGCTGCTAGAAACTCCTACCCCACTCAGCTCAAATAACCACCAGTTCAGGCCAGTGACCTGACTTAATGCCATTGTCTCTCTATTTCTTTCAAAACAGGGCTATAAATACACTGTGGAACCCGGACAGTGCTGTGGCACGTGCAAGGCAGCAGCTTGTGTAGTGACTGTGGGAGACAACATTACACATGTGCTCCATGTAATTACCTCTGGTTTGCCTCACTTTTGGGGAACTCTGCTAGTCTTTCCATTCTTTCCTCTCCTTGTATTTGTCACATTTATTTCCTCCATATTTTCTCATATGAGACAAATGCTTACTCAGGCAGGGGCTGGACAATCTCCACACAGCCTAAACAATACCTTACACCACAAAACGCCAGCTCTAAGGCTTCTGGCAGCAACTGTGCTATGATACTGAACAATGGCTTTCAGAAATCAACATAGGAAAATACATAGGTGAAAGCAAAGGACTTTTGTTTGCCTCCAGTTTGAAACTGTAGCACCCATTTTTCTCAGAGGATAATTTTATCTGTGGAGGCATTTTGACACATCCATAAATTCTAATGACAAAACTATTGAAATTCAAATCATTTTTTCCAACTGAGTCCGCGTACTTACCCTATTCACACAAAAAACACATCTATATCTATGTAAAAATAGAACCTCTTCACTTGGTTAATGAAAAACACTTAATAGCAGTATGATAATATGGCAAATAATTATCAGCTGAAATTCAAGGAAGTTGTTCAGAATAATCAAACTACTATATGCAGCAAAAATAAGACATTGGGGGGCTTTTGTTTCATTTTGATATAAGAAGATTTTAATTTGCATTAATTTTGACTACTTTCAGGAAGGAGAACAATGGAATCCACCTGGTGATAACTGTACTGTTTACACATGTGAAAAACATGCTGACCAGTTCATTCAAGTCATCAAAGAGGCAAGCTGTCCTGCCTTTAACTATGATGAGTGTGATCCAGTAAGTACTGTTCTACCAGTTCTCAGTTTTGGAAAGGTTGCAGTGCCTAACACCAGTGATAGAAGGATCATAGTGTCCACTGAAAATAACTAGCAGGAGCACCATGCAGGAAGTAGCTCTCCTTTTATCCTCTCTGAACCTGATCCCAGTCAAGTTTTATCTCAGAAAAGCAACTCAAAATTAAAATGAGTGTTACAAAAATCCTCACTGAGGATCAGACATTAGAGAAAAGGATATAGCATAATATTTTGGATACATTAAAGTGTCAAGTGACCTAGAAGCAAAAATCAGCCTCTGGCAAGTCACTTATTTCATTCATTGTGTTATCCTGTCTGTTATAATCCCTTACTTTTACTGACTTTGGTCACAATATTTTGACTTACATGTGCTAGGAGCTTTATTGCTTGCTGAAATTATACTATTAAACTGAGGGCTTTCCTCCATTTCAACTTTCAAATCACTATTTTAATATTAATAAGAGTTATGCGCCCTTGATATTTAGCCTTGCTTGAAATTAGATTCCATGGCAATACAAAAATATACACAGTCTCTGGTATATTTTCTCATGGCCAGAGAAAATTAGGAAGCAGGGAAAGTCTGCTTTAGCATGCAGATATGAAACCTGAGTTATCTTTTTATGTTTTCCCACTTAAGGATGATATCAGGTTATCTGAAGATGGCTGCTGTTTAGTGTGCCGAAGAGTACCAAAACGTAAGTAATAATAATTTTGTTAAAAGTATTGATTATATGTGCCTGGTTGGGTATATTAGCCCATTTTGCACAATGGGTGCATAGACAGAAGAGGTGAACTGACCACGTTTCGGTTCACTGCTTCACCGGGGTGAGAAAGGAAACAGGTGGAAAAGAAAGGAACAGGACATTTCCACTATGCATTTTAGGTTCTAGTGAAACAGATGGTGAACTTTCCCATCCCCTTCTGTTAAATGCTGGCTTTTTTGTGGGAGGGTGACGACTATGACTACTCTCCAATTTCCATAGATACATTCTCTTTAAGGAGGAAAGTGAAGCCAGTTCTGAGAGATGGGTGTGCATTGAGCAGTTGCCACAGTACTGTTCTTAATTTCTGCATTCTGAATCAAGTTACCTAAGAAAAAGGGAAAGTTGCATCCACTGATAACACAAACAGCAAGTCCTCATTTGGCCCTCAGCAATTAAAAGAAAAATGCATTGTGACGTAGTTTTCTATTTCAGCTCCATCCACCTTAGTTTTCAGTTACAAACTGTCGTATCATATACAGCTATCTATTCATATGCATATGTATTTTAACCTGTTTTCCTTTGCTTTGTGATGACCTCAGTTTGTATGAAGTACAATATGACTACTGTCATCAACTATCATGGCTGTGTATCTCCTGCACCTGTTGAGATCACATACTGTGAAGGCAGCTGTGATGCTTACTCACGGTAAGTGGCATAAAAGATAATTGTGGCCTCTTGTCTTCTACTCTTTACACCAGTTAAATCAAGCAAATCACAAGTGTTTTTCTGATGTGTCCAACATCCACTCCATCATCAACGGTTTCCATTGTGCTAATTAACATGACATTGTACGAGCTTGATTTCCTTGAGATTCAGTGTTCAACAGCCTGTTCAGCACCATAGTGAATAGACCCAAATTTTAATTTTGCCCATTTAAAACTGAGGTTATTTGTTTCTCATTATCTCACTGGACTGGCTTGCTGTGTGATCTGGAATAAATCTTTACTTTTTCTGTGCCTTAATGAATACTTAGAGTCATAAAATTTTACAATGAGGAGCAATTTTCCTGTATTTCACCACAAATACTGTAAGAACACTAATATTGAGCAATAGTCTCACATGCAAGTGCACAACTTCTGGTTTTGTAATGGGTGGGAGGGGCAGTGTTATTTCTCACATAAATTCTGAATCTTTCTCATTGTTTTTTCTATCAGATATTCTCAAACTACAAACACAATGGTGCACAAATGCTCGTGTTGTCAGGAAATCAAGACCAGCAAGAGGAAGGTGACTCTGATGTGCAGTGATGGAACCTCCCTTGATCACTCCTACACCTATGTGGAGAAATGCAGCTGTGTGGGTGCTGAGTGCATTACCCAAGGCAACACCCAACAGGAGACACAGCAGACAAAGACCTCTCAGGAGCAAGCAAATGTCAAAAATTAGAACTAGAGAGAAGTCCTCAAGCAAGGGCTGAGCATAAGACTAAATAAAGAAACTTCAAAAAATACAAAAGTGTCAAGAGCAGCTAAAATTTTGGATGAACAGATGATGTTTCCTGCATAAACCCCCCGTATGTCTGTCTACAGAATTTCAGCTTTCATTATCAATGTATCTCCCACTGGTTTTTACATCTTTTCTTTTACACCTTGAGAGGTGTAAATTCATCTTGACATTTTCTGTTCATTTGTCTTCTGGGAAGTGCTGGACTTTTAATAACATTTTCATTCCAGTTCACTGAGAAAAATCAAAAGGCAAATCCAGAGAACACACCAAACCCAAGGAAAACTGTACCACTCTGCTTCTATAGGTTTCTTTTTTTTTGTTGAGGAAAACTTAGAGGGCAGAAAGCCATATCTTTTCAAAACTATAAACTTCAATATTTTGAACAATTTATAATGGACATATTTCCGTACCTGTTTTTGTGAGGAAAAGGAAAAATCCTATTGTGAGAAGCTGCTGCACACTACTTTTTGTTTACATAACACCATCAGCAGAGTAGCTGTATGAAAATATGGATTTTTAATTTTGTTTTGTTATGTGGTTAATTGTTTACAGAAGAAATATATATATATTTGCCAACAGAGGCATATGAAGGATTTTTTAACAAAAGTATAATAATAATAATAATAATTAATAATTGTAAATTCTTTCCTAGGAAGCTTTAAAAAGTTGGACCACTACTATTTATTACTTTTTTTTTTTTTTTGGAAACTGATTTATTAGGTAATTTCTTTCAGAATTAATGTTATACCATTTCTTATTCTCAGTCATGTTGTCTGGGTATGGTATATTTTCTTTTGGTTTTGAATATTATTTTATTTTTGTTCCTTAAGACACAAAAAAGCAATTATGATTAATAAATTTTGAGCATTTTACAGCATGTCTGCCTTGACTTTTCAGTGAATCCCTTGCATGAGAGTTGCTGAGTCCATAAAACATAGTTCCAGGTCAAAAGTCAATGTGGTACCTAACACCCTATAGAGCTTTGATACTGCTTTGAATGAAAAACACTCAAACCCAAACATTTGGAAGTGTTCCAAGCACATCACCTCAGCTGCTATCACTTAGTGAACTCTCAGAGACAAGCATCTCTCTGAGTCTGCACGTTTTGTAGCCCTGAAAGTTCTTTACCTGTTTGCCATAAACTAGCCAAAGTATTTCAAACCAGTCTCTCATGGTTTAGAGCCCACTGCAACGTAAATAAATCTCTGAAATTGCACTGTTGTAAATCTACGTGGCTGCTACTGAGAGGAAAGCTCATGTCTCTACAAACGATTTGCTGGGTGAAGGTTGGGTGTTAAGGTCTTTGAAATGGGTCCCAGTGTCTCTACCGACTTTGGGCAGCAGGTTTATTGCAGAGCCCAGGCAGTTCTGCTCCTGAAACAGACAAGGGTCTGCACAGCCCCAGTTCCTGAACTTTAGGGTAAAATGGTAGGTGCAAGCTGGGATATGTGGTAGGTGGTTCTGGAAGGCTGAACCTTCCTGGTGCCTCAGCCAATGGGGAAAGGGAGAGGGCAACATGCAGCTGGGAGCTGAGGATAAAAGGAGGGTGCCCCCTCTGAAACCTCCAGAGAGATCATGCCACAGGTGTGTGTTGTGGTAGACTCTCTCCCTTTATTCAAATAAAATTGCAGGACTCCCTGGTCTCCTTTTTGGACATAAACCTCTGGCATTTGTGGAATTTTTCTTACACTACTCAGCTTTAGTAATAGGGTACTTTGAACCAGCCACCACAACTCTGACTGTACATTGTATAGTGCCAAGCAACATCCTATGAATAACTGCTCTAGTATTTGTAAGGGGAGCAGTAAAAAGCTGAAGTTGTTTTACTAAACTTTTCTCCTACCCTATAGTTTGGAAGGCTCAACAGAGGGAGTAAGAGGGTGCCCTGCAGCAGCTTCGGCTGCTCTTAAACCTGTTTTTCTTTTACATGACAATAACCACCCCTGTAGTTCCCCCTTCAGAGGCAAGCAATGAGTTTTCCGTGAGAAACACTAACACCACCAGACTTCCTGCTGGCAGAAATCCCGAACTCCGTCCCAGTTTCCTGTTGACAGTTTTTTCCATGCCTTGGGCTCTTTTGCTGCCCAGCGAGGCCCCCAGGTGGCACACTGCTCTGTTCCTCCCTTCCCAGACAACCCGCCAGGCTTCCCACTGCAGCACCACTGCTGAATTCATGACTAGTTCAGTGTGTAGCAGAGTTTCTGGCCTTACCAGGCAGGCTAGGAAATTATTCTTCTCCTGTTCATTCCACAGAAGGGAAATAATGTCTATTATAGAAGATCAATGATTATGCACTTTGTTGGTCCACAAAAGCTCCTTGCCCACCATTGAGCTACTGAAATGGCAGATTTCCTGTGTGTTGCTTCAAGATCATTAGTTGTTTTCCCATACAAAGCTTGTATTTCAGCATCCCAGAAGACACCCTATTTCCTGGAGATCCCTGTGTGTAATAAGTCTGTACCACCAGCCATTTCACACACTGAAAGAGAAAAAAATAATACAATGAGGAAGAAGAGAAGGGGAGACATGTGGCACATGGAAAGACTGACAGGTGATAATGGGACAGCAGGGTTTGGTGGTATAAAAAGGAAAGAAAAAACAGAAATAGAAGCAAGAGCACTGACAGCCTTCAGTCCTGGCATGGGGAGACAGGAAGCACGGGGAACATAAGCCAAGATAAATCATGGAGGCACACCAAGGCTGTGGCTGAGGAAGTTCTGGAGACCCTGCCTTGGAGAAGGAAGGATTTCTATCACAGATGCAGTCCCAGTGCTGGGAAAGAGCAAATGGGAACCCTCAGTTCAGAAGGAGGACAGGGAACAACATGCTTTGGGCATTAAAGACAAAATGAAAGATCTTGAAACAAGACATGGAGTACATATAAACCAGAGCACTGCAATGGATGCAGTAGAGCAGACTTACATTCTTCCTAAATTTTCCTTTACACAGGACCTATCTTTGCTCTGAGTTGTCGCTGACACAGATTGGGTAATAGCTCCAAAATAAACCTTCCTACAAGCTAGGACAAATTATGCCACTTACCTTATTATGCCATTTTTTAAAACCATAGATTAATAACGGAGTCAATAAATGATGGGGTGGGAGAAAGTGATTGGCTTGGCAGGTCTTTCCTGACAGGTCAGAATACCTGCAGGTCACCCTGAGCCGTGCTGGTGTAGATGGTTGATGTTTGTTACACCTCTGGCAACACCAGAGGGCTCTGGGCTCACAGCTTACAGACGTGGATGAGCAGGTTTGCTGTCAGAAGAGTTTCTTTCCAGGCACTTCAAAGTGAGCCACACAACTATTCCTTACTTTCAGATCCTGAGGATGAGCTTTGCCCTTAACATATCCTGAATCTACAAGTATCCATTCCACATAAGATAACAAGATTTGTTTATACATCACTTAATTTTTTTTTTTCTTACCTGATCATCATTGGAACACAAATAAGTTGCAGCAGAGAAATCATTCACTTAGAGGTTATTCCAGCTGAAAAACCCCACCAGTATTCAAAGTTTTAGTGTCTAAACTCAATATTGAATTAATGGGCATTCATACCTTCACTCTCAACTCTGGTCTCTTGTTATGTGGCTCAAGTTTTTCATGACCAGCTTACTGTTATTCCTTCTTCCCACTTAAAACTCTGCAGTATAAATAACAAATTACTAATAATCACTTTTCAATTATTCATTGTAATTATCAGCAACATATAAACTATAACCTGAAATTATATGTCTATTCAGATTCCAGCTTTGAATTCACTTCCAGTAATTAATTTGCCTCTTAAAGCAAGGCAGTGTTTAAACCACATCATTTTCTGAAAACATCTATTGAAAGACTTAAGGTTGTTTGTGGCACAGCTCAGGAGCTGGGCTGATAACAGAGAACTCAAGAATGGAAGCCACACTTCATAATAGTAAAAACCCAACTCAAAGAATGGAAGTTTTTCACCTCTTCAGTAGGTTTTGTTCTAACCATTGTAAAAAAAAAAAAAAAAAAAAGAGGCCACTCTCTGGCAACAAGCCAGATTAAGACAGAGTTTTGTAACAGAAAAGGAGACTAGTTCTATTCAAACATTATTAGTGTAATAATAAAACAATTATAAATGCACAGGAAGTACATTTTTGCAGAGGATGCAGTGGTCATGACTGTCCAATTTTCCTTTGTTCCTTACAGCTTCAAAAATTGTCTTCCTTCTTGATCCTCTGATTTCTTTTGGCATTCATTATAACTCCTATTTATAACTGCAATTTGATTATGAGTAACCAGCAAATGTTTCCACTATTAAAACAATTTGGTTTGGGTTTTCTTAAATAGACAGAAACTTATTCTGCTGCCTCTAACTGCCCTCCTCCTGTTATGACCATGCATAGAAAAATAAAATCCCACTTTTGCCTCCTTCTGATTTAAGAAAGCAAAGGCTGTCCAGGCAGTCGAAAATGGAGCTCTTAAATAGAGTAATTGTGGATATGTCACACGCTTAGTCTCACAAAATGAAAATGTGTAAAGTCTTAGTAGCCAGTCCTGAAACTAAACCATTGTTTCTGTATTCCAGTCTAGCTACAAGGATCACTGGGATTCACTGATTTACTAAAAAAAAAAAAAAAAAAAAAAAAAAAAAAAAAAAAAAAAATCCAGAAATACTTGAGAGGAGCATGATTCCAAGGCAAATTTGAAACTGGCTTTTGTTTCAGACAGTGTCACATGTGAACTGTGCAGCTGTTCCCTCACTCAGTGAGAAGTCAGTCAAAAACTCTCACTCCAGTCTAACTGACCTCTAGAGAGGTGGGAGGCCAAAACTGAGCTTTCTGTATTACTCAAAGTCACAGCTACTGAAGCACATGGCTGCCAACTGCAACACAGCCATAACATGAAAATCTGCAGAAAAGACATGATAAACACCTTCATGAAATGACCTCCTGCCACAACAGAACTGA